CCCCCCAGTGGACACCATGTGAAGATCCCTTCCTTTTCCTGGGAAGCCTGCAGGCTTGGCTATTTGATCTAGCCTGGAAGATTAATTGCGGAGCCTAGTGGCTCATGCCTGTCACGCCAGCACTTGAGAGGCTGAGGCAGGAGGACTGCTCACAAAGTTGAAGCCTAGGCTATATAGTGAGTTCCAGGCCAGCCTGGGCTACAAAGTGAGACCCTGTCTCCAAACAAAAACAATAAATACTGCATGCCATGAAAAATCAGGAGCCAGGTGTTAGAGTTTGGGACCAGCCTGGAGAGAGAGAGAGAGAGAGAGAGAGAGAGAGAGAGAGAGAGAGAGAGAGAGACAGACAGAGAGAGAGAGCGCCAAAGAGTGCCATAGGAGCCATAGCCATACAGAAAGCTCTGGAAGCCAGCTGTGGTGGAGTGCACCTGTGACTCCAGCACTGGTTCTCAAGTTCAAGAACAGAGACTGGCCTGGGTTCTAGAAGGAACCAGTCTCCCCTGCCCCCTAAAAACTGAAACAGTGCACCTCAACATCTCAAATATATAGACAACTGCTTCTAGTTGTGTCATTAACCTGCACATTCAGATTTAGGTCTGGGTTGGGCCTGGGATTGGACCCATGCCATCAGGTTGGCAGCAAGCACCTTTTCCTGCTAAGCCACCTTGCTGGCCCTTCCTTTCCTTTCCTTTTCAGTACTGAGAACTCAGTCCAGGCCTTGTGCCAAGCCGGCTCTCGATGCACCTCCTGCCCCCCCTCAGCTCCTTACATTGATGCGAGGTCTCATTCTGCAGTGCAGACTGGCCTGGAACTCCAGATCCTCCTGCTGCAGCCTCTGTGTCATGGAGACCCGGGAGTACCACCATGGCCAGTTATCTTGGGATCCATACCCAGCTTCTGGGTGATACACACACACTGCTCACTGGTCTGGGGATCACACCCAGAAAGGAGAAAAATAAAAAAGCAGGTACATACACTGCACCTCTCCCCAACACTGTGTAAACACAAAGATGAAATGTTTACACCAAGAAAATCAGGAAATACTTCAAACCAGGGCTCATATTTGATTATCTATTGTGTGTGTGGAGATCAGAGGAAAAGCTCAGTGTCTTCTGACAGGCACCGTCTACCTCATTTTTTGGACAGGGTCTCGCTGAACCTGGACTCACTGTGCTGTCTGGCCATGGAGCCCCAGGGATCGGCCCATCTCTGCCTCCCCATTGCTGGTGTTGTCACCAGGCCTGCTTTTTCCGTGGCTTCTGGTGATTTGAACTCAGGGCCTTTTGCAAGCCAAGTGCTTTTCTGACTGAGCTGTCTCGCCAGCCCTCAGATTGTTTTATTGATTGTTGTCTAGACCTAAGTGATAAAAATCATACAAGTTAAATTTACAGCCAGCTCTGTGTGCACATGTATACACAGGCTCTGCTGCAACCCCAGAGGCAGCTGGGAAATGACCACCACACCCTACTAGGGGCTAAGAGTCAAGGGGAGAGGCTGAGACAAGGTCCTGGAAGTGGTGAGCATGCTTGCAGATAAACACAAGACAATCTCAGAAATGTGTCCTGGACTAGAGGATGGCAAACTACCCATCAAGCTGGGAATGGTGGTGTCCTCTTGTCATGCCAGCATCAGATGGAGGCCGGAGGATCAGGAGTTCAGGGTCATCCTCAGCTACTTAGAGTTGAAGGCCAGCCTGGGCTACATGAGAGCCTGTCTCAAAAAAACAGCAAACTAGCTGTTTCTTGTGTGTGTGGTGGGGGGGAGCGGGTCACAAGACAGCCTTGCCTGTCACCCTCCCAGACACCAGGCACCTTTCTGCTTATTTAGAGACAGGATCTCACTGGCCTGGAACTCAGCAATTATGTTATATGACTGGCCCTGGAGCCCAAGGGGTCCTCCTGTCCCTACCTCCCTGACTAGAATTACAAGTGTGCACCACCTCCCCTGACTTTACATGGGTCCTGGGGCTTGAACTTGGTCTGCATGCTTGAAATGCAAGCACTTTACCAGCTGAACTGTCTCTACAGGAAAAGGTTGCTGCCAACCTGATGGCATGGGTCCGATCCCAGGCCCAACCCAGACCTAAATCTGAATGTGCAGGTTAATGACACAACTAGAAGCAGTTGTCTATATATTTGAGATGTTGAGGTGCACTGTTTCAGTTTTTAGGGGGCAGGGGAGACTGGTTCCTTCTAGAACCCAGGCCAGTCTCTGTTCTTGAACTTGAGAACCAGTGCTGGAGTCACAGGTGCACTCCACCACAGCTGGCTTCCATAGCTTTCTGTATGGCTATGGCTCCTATGGCACTCTTTGGCGCTCTCTCTCTCTGTCTGTCTCTCTCTCTGTCTCTCTCTCTCTCTCTGTCTCTCTCTCTCTCTCTCTCCCCAGGCTGGTCCCAAACTCTAACGCCTGGCTCCTGATTTTTCATGGCATGCAGTGTTTCTTGTTTTTGTTTGGAGACAGGGTCTCACTTTGTGGCCCAGGCTGGCCTGGAACTCACTATATAGCCTAGGCTTCAACTTTGTGAGCAGTCCTCCTGCTTCAGGCTCTCAAATGCTGGACAGGCATGAGCCACTAGGCTCGGCCCAATTGCTGCAAATCTGATCCAAATCTTCCAGGTTAGATCAAACAACCAAGCCTGCAGGCTTCCCAGGAAAAGGAAGGGATCTTCACATGGTGTCCACTGGGGGGTGGCAGAGGACCAGGATGATTCCAAGCTGAGCAGTTCAGTGCTCAGTAACTGCTTCATGGGAGTGTGAGCTGGGCTGTGGGGCCTGAGCTCTCTATACCTGGGTCTTCCTCAGCCTCTGTTCAGTTACTGATTCTTTTCCTGTATATGTGTGTCCATGTGTGTAGGCACACGTGTGTGTGTGTCTGTGTGTGTGTGTGTGTGTGTGTGTGTGTGTGTGCATGTGTGCCCAGCACCCACGTTCAGTTCCCAGCACCCACGTGGCAGGTAACAACCATCCGTAACTCCAGTTTCAGGGGATCCAACATCCTCTTGTGAACTCCATGGGCGTTGTCCAACACGTGGTATGCTTACATCTGTGCAGGCCAAACACTCATACACATTAAATAAAATCAAAAGGGCGGGATGTGGTAACACAGGCCTTTAATCCCAGCACTTGGGAGGCAGAGGCAGGCAGATCTTTGTGAATTCAGGGCGAGCCTGGTCTACATAGTGCTAGGCCGCTGAGGCTACAGGGAGACCTTAAACTCCTGATCCTCCTGCTTCCTCCTCCTCAGTGCTGAGATGACAAGTGTGTGTCACTATGCCCAGTGTGGAGAGTTGAACCCAGGGCTTTGTGCATGCTAGACTTGCACTCTACCCACTGAACCACCGACCAGCATAGCGACGTCTATTTTTTATAGCGATATTTCCAAATAGAATGTTAAAATAATACGAGGTGTGGTGGTGCACACCTTTAAACCCAGCCCTCAGGAAGCAGAGTTGGGGAGTTTTGTGATTTCCAAGTCCAGCCTGGTTTACATAAGTAATTCCAGTCCAGCTGAGGCTACAGGAAGACCCTGTCTCAAATAGTTTTCTTAGTAACTTTTGAGATGGAACTGCAAAGCCACCAACATACTCTTGCTTGGCTGCTGATCAGACTCACCTCTGAGAAGCCACTCCTGGCCCAAAAGGCACCACCATGTGTAATCTGCTTACCTCACAAGTACGAGGACACAAGGGCCTGAGTTGGAATCCTCAAATCATATGGAAAGCTGAGCCTTGTGGTGCAACCCTGTAATCCCAGTTTTGGAGAGGCAGAGACAGGAGGATCCCTGGGGTTCAATGGCCAGACATCTAAGCCAAACCAACCAGCTGAGTGATTCTATCTCAAAAACAAATTGGAGGTCTAGAGGAGAGAGTTCAGCAGTTAAGAGTGATTACTGCTCCCCACAAAGACCCTAATTCAGTCTCCAGCCCCACAGCAATGGCTCACAACCACGTCTAACTCCAGCTCCAGATCTGAAGGCCTTGGCCTCATCTGGCCACTGTAGGCACTGCACCCACATATGGATACATGCATACACAGACTCACATCCATTCACACTACAAAAACAGAAATTAAATACAGGAGAGGGATGGGAGGAAGTGAGCTGACATTCTCACATTAATAACAATTTTTTTGAAAACTAAGGAGCAAGGGATGAAAGAGATGGACCCCTGGTTAAGAGCACTTACAGGTCTTGTAGAGGACAGTGTGTAAATCTAGAGTCCACACAGTAGCTCTCATCTGTGTAATGCCAGTTCAACAAGACACCAGTTGCCAGGCATAGTGGCACATGCCTTTAATCCCAGCACTCGGGAGGCAGAGGCAGGCGGATCTTTGTGAGTTTGAGGCCAGCCTTGTCCACATAGGGAGTTCCAGGCCAGCTGGGGCTACAGGGAGACCTTGTCTCAAAACAAAACAAAACAAAACAAAACAAAACAAAACAAAACAAAAACCCCACAAAGCTGCTTGACTCTGTGGCAGTCTATCTCTAGGCAGGACAGTCCTTGCCTAGAATCCCCATTGAGGAGCTGGGGGCGTGGCTCAGTGGTAGAGTGACAGCCTAAGTGAGGCCCAGTGAGAGGCAGGGGGTTGGGTCAGGGGTAGAATAATAGCCTAGAATCCCCCAGGGAGGGGCTGAGGATGTAGCTCAGGATAGAGTGACAGCCTAGAATCCTCAGTGAGGGGCTGGGGGCGTGGCTCAGGGGAGAGTGACAGTCTAGAGTCCCCAGTGAGGGGCTGTGGGCGTGGCTCAGGTAGAGTGACAGCCTAGAATCCCCAGTGAGGGGCTGGGGGCGTGGCTCAGGGTAGAGTGACAGTCTAGAGTCCCCAGTGAGGGGCTGTGGGCGTGGCTCAGGTAGAGTGACAGCCTAGAATCCCCAGTGAGGGGCTGGGGACGTGGTTCAGGGTAGAGTGACAGCCTAGAGTCCCCAGTGAGGGGCTTGGGGGCGTGGCTCAGGGTAGAGTGACAGCCTAGAATCCCCAGTGAGGGGCTGGGGGCGTGGCTCAGGGGTAGAGTGTAGCCTAGAGGGCAGAGGGGGCAGGGATAGAGCCCCTGCATAGCATGAACACATCCTTGCTCCTTCCTTATGCCTCACAGTTTATTGATACACCTTCTCACATCATGGTGGTGTTGGGACGTGATGGTCAGATGACCGTCTCCTGGGCTTGGTTTGTGTCTGTGGCCATTCTTGGATGTCTGTATATCCCTTGGTGTCTGTATGTCTCTTTGTGCCTGACAGTTGCAGGGTGTCTGTGGATCTTTCAGTCTCCATTTGTCCTGTGGCCTCTGACTGTTGTTTGGCCTCTCGCTGGAATTTCACCCTCCTGGTTTGCAGCCAGCGCTGGAAGTTGCGTTGCAGCCAAGGGCAGCTGCAGTACCAGATGCAGCCTCGGCAGAGCCTGGACCAGAACCTCTTAAAGTGGTGGCCCCTCTCGGTGGCCAGCAACTTGGGGGTGGTGTAGACTAGTCCCACAGACAGCAGCATGGTGGTGGTGAGCAACAGAATGACGAGCTCGGGTGGGAACAGGGGCAGCGGCAAGGCTCCATACACAAAGACGCTGAAGACTGTGTCCAGGTGACAGTAACTGTGGGGACAGCGGAGACAGGCCACGGGGACCCCGTAATGGGATCCCCGACTCTGGTGTAAGAGCCATGCATCATGTACTGGACAGAACTACAGCCAACTTTCTCTTCTGTGTGTGAGTTTTGATGCAGGGTCTCATGTAGCTCAGGCTGGCCTACAACTAACTATGTAGCTAAGGATGGCCTTGAACCAGATTTCCCTGCTGGCACCTCCTCCCAGTGCTGGAATGACAGATGTGCACTGATGCTGGGCTTCAGCTGGAATCTGCCAGATCATGATAGAGCCGAGTACCCCTACACAGTGTGACCCCCCTCCAGGGGCACTCCTAGCCTGAGGCCCTCAAAGCGCAGCACAGCCCTCACCTGTAGTGAGGGTCCACAACTGACAGGGAAAAGACGTAGATTCCATTTCTTTGGTCAAAAATGACCCTGTTGTTGGTCCGGCCACCGAGGATCTGGTACTGGACGTCTGGCCATAGCAGGGGTCTATCCTCACTCCATTCATGGCAGCTGACGTAGTTCTGGGGAAGCAGACAGGGGTCCAGCATGCCACAGGCCTGGTCCTCAGCCCCATCCTTCCCAGATGGTGGACAGTGACACCCCCCCAACCCCCAATGTCCCAACCCAAGCTCTGCAGGCTGCACCTTGGCTGAATGCCTAGGCCTCCAACCAGCCTGGCCCCTTGGGCCTCCTGGAGTCTGAGGCACAAGGTTCAGTTCTGCCTGTGAGAGTAGCTGGAGTGTGGATATGATGCTCTGTGTTTCTGTGCACACCCCATGCTCACCCCCACAGTCATTCATACGGTGCAACCCTAAGACACCCGACTTTCGAGTTTGGCCTTATTTGGACATACGGTCTTTAGGGTGGTGATTGCTGTATTTGAGATGAGGGTCTCATGTACCTCAGGCTGTCCTCAGTCTCACCCAAGCTGTCCTCAAACTCACTATGTAACCCAGATTATCCTTAAGATCACTATGTAGATGAGGCTGTCCTCAAACCCACTATTGTAGCCCAAGTTGGTCTCAAATTCACTATGTAGCCCAGGATGGCCTTAAACTCCTGATCCTCCTGTCTTTACCTCTCAAATGCTGTGATGAGACACCACCACCCAGGTCTGCAGTGCTGGGGATGCATCCAGGCCTCGTGGATGCTAGGCAAGGTCTCTGCCCACTGAGCCCCAGCTCCTTGGGCCTACCTCTCTGTCCCAGGACTTGAACTCCGAGTTATCTGTGGCTGCCAAGACAGTGGTCCAGTTCTGGGGCTGCGACTTGCAGCCTGCCGTGGCAGCTGTCAGGGAGTAGGAGTAGGTGAATAGTCCATTCACCTCCATCAGCACGTACTCTGCGTCCACGATCTCGTGCATTAGTCCATTCCACCACCTGAGATAGAGCGCAAGGCACACAGTCACCCCATGGAAGGCATGGGAGAAGCCAGGGACATAAGGGGGACCCAGGAGAAAACAGAAAAAGACCCCCAAGTCACAGAGTGTGGAGGCACAGGCACAGTAGGGAGAGGGCAGAGCCAGCAGGGACTGAAGTCACCTCCAACGTGAGTCCCCCCTCAGATGGGGACAAAGGAGCCTGGAATAAAGAGGCTCAGCCATGTCTTTGCCTGTTTTCCTTCCTCTCTCTTCCTCTCTCCCTTGTAGCCCAGGTTGAGCTATGTAGCTGAGGATGGCTTTGAACTCCTGATCCTCCTGCCTCCACCTCCCTTTCTGGGATGACGGGCAAACACTACCATGCCTGGTTTTTGTGCTTCATCCCAGGTTCATCGCCCAGGGCTTCCTGCGTGCTGGGTGATAGATCCAGCAGCTGAGCTCCAGGGATAGCCCTAAGAAACAAACCCTCCTGACCCTCAAGGTAGACTGTGAATAAAGACTGGGGGGTGTCCCTTCCAGTATCTTTGGGGTCTGCACCTGAGGACTGAGCCAACGTTGACATCCAAGATTGAACCAAACTTAACATTTGAGCTTTCAACCAACCTTGACATCAAGTCTTGAACTAACAACATGCAGAGTGAAAATATGTGGAAAAAGCTCACACATGCACAGGTGTGTACAGACTTCTTTTCATTTTACCATTAACAATACAGTGAGACAGTGATGCACACTGCATGTATGTAGGTTTGGGGGTCCTCTAGAGGTGACTTAATCTAGGGCACGGTTGAGCTGCTGGCCCATGCCTGTGATCACAGCACTCATGGGTACAAGCATGGGTCAGGAGTTCAAAACTTGCTATATGATGAATTCTGGACTCACCTGGGCTACATAAGAACAGCCTTAAAACAAACAAAACCTTTGAATTGTGTTCCGAAGAAAGTCCTGAAGTGTTTGTGGTTCTGGCAGCTTCCAGACAATCCTGAGGTGAAGATAATTCACCTGGCAGCTTCCAGGAACTGCAGAGGAATCCTTGGAGGCTCCCTTACCACCCAGTCACTCACCCAGCCCAAATTGCTCTATGTCCCAGAAAAATGAAAGAAAAATGGTCTGTACATGTCCAAGTCCAGCAACTTCTGCCCAAAAAAGTGTGGGGCTGGAGAGCTGGCTCAGAAGCTCTTGCAGAGGACCCACATGGCAACGAACAACCATCTGTAACTCCAGTTCCAGAGGTTCCAATTCCCTCTTCTGGCCTCCGTGGACACTGCATGACCCGGGTGCACTTACATGTAGGCAAAACACTCATAATCATAAAATAAAAATAAGTAAAATAAAATATTCTTTTCCACACAAAGTCTTGCTATGTAGCCCAGGATGGCCTCAAACTTGAAATCTCCCTGCCTCAGCTTTCTGAGTGCTGGGATGACAGGTGTGGGCCACTGCACCTGGCACTTGGGAGTCCTTTTGCATTTTTTGGTTTTGTATTTGCTAGCGATCTGCCAGACAAACTCCTGCTCACCCTGCAAAACCCAACCACTGTTCATGGAAACCCACACATGGCACCAGGTGGGATGGATTTAGGAGAAAAGAGGATGAAGGGAGGCATTATAAAATACAGACCATGGGATGGAAAGATGGCTCAGCGGTTAAGAGCACTGACTGCTCTTGCAGAAGACTGGGGTTCAATTCCCAGCACCCACATGGCTGCTACAAACTGTCCTTAACTCCAGTTCCAAGGGAATCTGAAGCCCCTTTCTGACTTCTGCGGCATTGCACAACACGAGTGCACTCATACATGCAGGCAATACACTTGTACACATAAAATAAAAATAAAATATTTAAAAAAACAAAAAAAGAAAATACAGACCATAGCAGAAGAAAGGGTGCAAGCCAGGTGCTGGTGCACTTGTGATCCCAGCACGTGGGAGGCTGAAAGGTTTGGCCTACATAGTGAGTTCAAGGCCTGCATAGAAATAAAAAAGGGAAGCCGGGTGGTGGCACAGGCCTTTAATCCCAGCACTAGGGAGGCAGAGGCAGGCGGAGCTCTGTGAGTTCAAGGCCAGCCTGGTCTACATAGTGAGTTCCAGGACAGCTGGGGCTAAAAAAAAAAAAAAAAAAAAATCCGTGGCATAGAGCTGCAAGCAGAGCAGAGGCTCATGGGAAACCAGCCCTTGCTGCACCCCGGCCTTGACTTTTGGGTCCTGAACTGGGGACACTCAAATGTCTATGTCTGTGGCAGCCTGAGCGGAACAAAAGGACAGGAGAGGGACGCGGACTTGTGCACTGAGGGTGGAGGGCGGGCGCTGCGGGCCGGGCTCAGGACAGGGGCCATACAGTTCCACCACCGGCTTCCACGGGGTGTCGTAGTAGACCAGGCGGGGACAGCCCAGCTCCTTGTACTCGTAAAACACCAGCAGGTCGCTCTTGGCCTCTCCCTCGCGGCTGACCGGGCTGTAGGCTTCCCTGGGGGAGGGAGGGAGGAGATGAGCAGCCTACACCACCCCACTCAGCGTGGGATCTGGGGACGGACTCAGGTCCTCAGCCAGTACTCAGGTCTTCCCCAAGCCCACAGTGACTTTTTATTCAAATATTTACTTCTAGTTTATGGTTATGAGTGTCTTGCCTGCATGTACGTAAGTGCACCACGTGGGTACAAGACCCATGGAGGCCAGAAGAAGTTATCAGATTCCTTAGAATTTAGGGATGGTTGTTAGCTGCCATGTGGGTGCTGGGAACTGAACCCTGATCTTCTGCAAGAGCAGCCAGTGTTCTTAACCACTGAACTATCTCTCTGTCCAGCCCCCAAACAGTGACATACATATACATATATATATATATAATTTTTTTTTTTTTGTCTTTTTGAGACAGAGTCTCCCTATAGCCCCAGCTGGCCTGGGATTCAGCTATATAGACCAGGCTGGCCTCAAACTCACAGAAATTCACCTACCTCTGCCTCTGGAGTGTTGGGACTAAAGGCATGCTCCACCATGCTTGGCTAAGTATATTTTTTATTAATTAATTAATTATTTATTTATTTATTTATTTTTGTCTTTTTGAGACAGGGTCTCCTTGTAGCCCCAGCTGGCCCGGAACTCACTTTGTACACCAGCCTGGACTTGAACTCACAGAGCTCCGCCTGCCTCTGCCTCCCGAGTGCACCACCATGCCCGGTTTTATTTTTTTATTTTTAAATTTTTTAATTAATTAATTAATTTATTTATTTATTTTAGGTCTTTTTTGAGACAGGGTCTCCTTGTAGCCCCAGCTGGCCCGGAACTCACTTTGTACACCAGGCTGGACTTGAACTCACAGAGCTCTACCTGCCTCTGCCTCCCAAGGGCTGGGATTAAAGGCGTGCACCACCACATCCAGTTTATTATTTTATTTTATGTGTATGAGTGTATTGCCTGAGTGTATGTGAGTGCACCCATGTCATGCAGTGCTGCAAGGTCAGAAGAGAGCTTCGGATCCCCTGGAACTGGAGTTAAGGGTGGTTTGTAGCCGCCATGTGGGTGCTGGGAATTGATCCCTGGTCCTCTGCAAGAGCAGTCAGTGCTCTTAACTGCTGAGCCGTCTCTCCAGCCCCACACTTTTTTTTTAAATCAGTGAGGCAGAGCTGGAGAGATGGTTTGGCACTTGCTGTTCTTGCAGAGGACCTGATGTCAGGAGGCTCAACGGCCTGTAATTCCAATTTCAGGGGCGCAAATACTCTTTCTGACTTCCATGCACCCCCCCCACACACATGGCACACACGCACACACACACACACACAAACATAAACAGAAAATTTAAAAAATATTTTATTTATTATTTTTATTTTATGTGTACAAATGTATTGCCTGCATATATGTGAGTGTACCACATCGTGCAATGCCTCAGACGTGATTCCCCTAGAACTGGAGTTAAGGACGGTTTGTAGCCACCATGTGGGTGCTGGGAATCAAACCTGGGTCCTCTGCAAGAGCAGTGTGTGCTCTTAACCTCTGAGCCATCTCTCCACCCCCCCCAAAGGAAATATTTTTAAAAAAGAAAAATCAATGAGTCACATCCAGTGAGAGAGCTCATTGGGTATAGGCATTTGCTGCCAAGTCCAATGGCCTGAGTTTAATCGTTGGGACTCACAGGATGGAAGGAGAGAGCTGACACTTGCAAGTTGTCCTCTTAACTCCATACGCACAGTGGGGCATGCACATACACAAAATAAATAAAATGGAACAAATATACTTTAAAAATCATTCAGTCAGCAAGAGCAGTCAGTGCTCTTAACCACTGAGCCATCTCTCCAGCCCCCACATGGTGGTTACAAACTGTCCTTAACTCCAGTTCCAGGGGAATCCGAAGCCCTCTTCTGACCTCTGCGGCATTGCATGGCACAGGTACACTCACAAACATACAGGCAATACACTTGTACACATAAAATAAAAAAATAATAAATAAAAATATTTTTTTAAAAAATCATTCAGTCAGCCAGGTTCAGTTCCCAGCACTCACATGGTGGCTAACAACCGTCCATAACTCCAGGTCCAGGGGATCCAACACCCTCTTCTGACGTCCATGGGCATTGCATGGCACAGGTGCCCTTACATGCAGGCAGAATATTGATACACAAAATATAAAAGTAATACATAAAAAAAAAATTCAGTCAGTCAGTGCCTGTCTCTCCTTGTGTCTTTGTCTACAGTCCTCCCTCAGCCTCATCAGAGATTGCTCCAGATCCTTCTGTGGATACCAAACTCATAGATGTGAATATCCCATAGCAACTCTGGTCAGGGACTTAGCAGTTATGTAAGAGGCTGAGTCAGGAGGGAGAGAGTGCCAGGCCAGCCTGAACTGCATTGTGGGAGACAGCCCCCCCAAAAAAAACCACCCCCCTACCCCCGTCTCAAAAATTAAGAAGATAGAAGGGGAGAGCTGGCTCAGCAGTTAAGAGCACTGGCTGCTCTTGGAGAGGACCCAGGTTCTGTGCCCAGCACCCACATGGCAGCTAACAACCGCCTGTACTCCAGTTTGGGGGAATTTGACACCCTCTTCTGACACCCTCTTCTGGCCTCCATGAGCATTGCACAACACAGGTGCACTTACATACATTCAGGCAAAACACACAAACATGGAAAATTAAATAAATAAATAAATAAATATAACAGGAGAGAATAAAAGGGGCTGAGGACCTGGCTCAGAGGTACAGTGACAGCCTAGAGTCCCCAGTGAGGGCTGGGGGCCTGGCTCAGGGTAGAGTGACAGCCTAGACTCCCCAGTGAGGGGCTGGGGGCGTGGCCCAGGGGTAGAGTGACAGCCTAGAATCCCCAGTGAGGGGCTGAAGGTGTGGCTCAGAGATAGACCTTAGACTATAACCTTCAGAACTGTGAGTCATAACGTTATCTCTAAATCTCCTAAGGCTAAACCAGTTTGTTATAGCATCAGACAAGTTCTTGGGCAGCGCAACCTGACTTACAGCTTTCCACTCCTCACAAACTTAGGAGCCCTGTTGTTAACCTTGGCTTTGGTCCAGTGATTTAGGCTTGTCTTTGATTCAAGAGTCCAAATTGAACAAAATACAAGTTCCAGGGCCCAGCACGGCAAGGCACACCTGTGCCAGGTACATAGGTGGAAGGCTGCATCCCTACCCCACACCCTGGCCCCACACGCATTACCCTGGCTCCTGTGACCTGGCCCCTCACACCCTAGACTCTCTTGTCCAGACACCAATTCTAGATCCTTCCTCCCTGTCCTGGGGTCTGCAGAGAACTGGGGATAGCTGCCCGCCGCTTACTTCTCAATGATGTAACTGTAGTTTCCCTGCAGATCCACTGGATCCAGGATTCCCATGGCACAGGCAGAGATTTTGCTGTGAGTGAGAGGAAACAGAAGTGGGCTGAGCAGAGGAGAAAGTGGATGCTGGGAAGTCGACACAGAGGAGGGAGGACGCAGGTACCTGGCCTAGGGCAAAGACTGGAAAGGCCAGGAGACCCCAACCTGTCTGGGATGGGGTGTGTGAGAAATGCCCAAGGCAATGCTGTTGAGGGGGGGATTCCTAATCTTGCTTCAATTTTTCTTATTAAAAAAACATGTCTCTACAGCTGGGCGTGGTGGTGCATGCCTGTAGTCCCAGCACTTGGGAAGCAGAATCAGGCGGATCTCTGTGAGTTCAAGACCACCTTGGTCTACTTAGTGAGTTCCAGGACAGCTGGGGCTACAGGGAGACCCTGCTTCAAAAAGACCAAAAAAAAAAAAAAATTAGCCAGGCATGGTGGCACACGCCTTTAATCCCAGCACTTGGGAGGCAGAGGCAGACGGATCTTTGTGAGTTCAAGGCCAGCTTGGTCTACATAGTGAGTTCAGGTCAGCTGGGGCTACAGGGAGACCCTGTCTCAAGAAGACAAACAACAACAACAAAAAAAAAAACACAAAAAAAATTATATGCCTAGAGTCAGGTATGGTTGTGCACGCCTTTAATCCCAGCACTCGGCAGGCAGAGGCAGGTGGTTCTAGGTGAGATGAAAGCTAGCCTGGGCTATTTATGGAGTCTCTGGGACTATAGGGAGACCCTGTATCAAAAAAAGAAAAAAATATGGGTCTAGAGACATTGCTCGGTGCTTAGGAGTGCATACTGGACTTGTAGAAAACCAGGTTTATTCCAAGCACCCACATTTCACTCACAAAAACCTGGAACTTCAGCTCCAAGGAATCTAACATCCTCTCTGGCCTCCTCAGTTGCCTGCATTTATGTGTACACACACACACACACACACACACACACACACACACACACACTCACACTCACAGTCACACACATAAATAAAATGGAATAGAAGTTGTAGTCTCACATGGGGGACCATGCCAGAAACTTGAAAAGTGGAGGCAGGAGGATCAGGAGTCCAAATTGACTTGGCTCCACAGTGAGGTCCAGACAGCAGCAGTGTGGGTTGGATGACACTCTTTGGGGGTGGGGTGAGTGGAATGTGAACTGTGAGGGATCCATGGTGATGAAATGATAAGTGAGTAATGTAAGTCCTGGAAGAGTAGGTCAATTACTGCGAGGACAGTCTAGGTCTCCAGTGAGGGGGTGGGGGCATGGTCCAGGGTACAGTGACAGTGCAGAGTCCCCAGTGAGGGGCTAGGGGGGATGGCCCAGGGCTACGTAGAGTGACAGCCTAGAGTCCCCAGTGAGGAGCTGGGGGGATGGCCCAGGGGTAGAGTGACAGCCTAGAGTCCCCAGTGAGGGGCTAGGGGGGATGGCCCAGGGGTAGAGTGACAGCCTAGAATCCCCCAGTGAGGGGCTTTTGAGAGAGGATGTCATGTAGCCCAGGCTGGCCCCTAACTTGCTATATTGCCCAGGATGAACCTGAACTTTGGAAATCCTCCTTCTGCTTCCAAGTGATGGTTTGACAGTTCTGTGCTGCCATGCTGGCTGCTCATTTCTTATTACAGAATCGTGAAGAATATGGGAAATTCAGCCCCATGATGTTACCTCACTATGGCCGTGTGGCCCCCCCACCCCACTCCCTGCCCCATGATCTTACCTCACTATGGCCGTGTGGCCCCCCACCCCACTCCCTGCCCCATGATGTTACCTCACTATGGCCGTGTGGCCCCCACCCCACTCCCTGCCCGCTGGCTTCACAGCTCTTACTTCTGCACGGTGATCTTCTTTTTCAGGTCACAGCCAATCGAGATGAGTGTGGACTGCAGGGGACACAGGGGGCGGTCATGTGCTGCAGGAAAGCCTGGGCAGGCCTGCCACTGTGCAACACTGTCCAGGACGCATTCCCACAGGAGGGGGTGGAAAGGAAATGGTGTGATCTTGACAAGGTGCCTCTCCACTCCTGCCTGAAGATGAACTCTTCAAGCACTGGACTGAATTTGCAATTTGATTGACATTACAGCATGTGTATGAGCTTGTTCCTTTCCCTGAGCCAGTAAAAGTCCATTGACTGAATGTGCCTGAGTTTTTCCCGCTTTGACACAGGAATAATATGTCTGTGATGGTGTCTGCACAAGCTACTGCATGGAGTTGTGTTGCTTTCAATTCTCTGGAAGCATCTAGAAGTGATGTTTCTTCCCATAGGCCAGAGGCAGTTTGGGGTAATGAGGACCAAATAGCACTTACTGGGAGGATTTGAGTCACAGGGTAGCCCTAAGGGCCAACAGTGGGAGGCAGTAACCTGGCAACTAGGACAGCATTACTCATTTGAATACTGAACAAGGGCCTAGCCAGTGCTGTGGGGCCTGGCCTAGAACTTAAGATCAGAATGTCGAAGAGCAAAGCTCTGGGCATACCAGAGGCTTCAGGTCCACACATGAAATCTCCTTGTCAGCTATGTCCACAGTCAAAGCAGAGATGGCATTTCGCTTCATGCTGTAAGGCAAAGCAACAAGGGGGGGAATCTGTGTTATAGTGATCATGGGGAAGTCACTGACTCTTCAGCCATCCCACCAACTATTCATCTACTACACACCCATCTGTCCATCCCTCTATCATCCACCCATTCATCTATCCATTCCCCCATCCATCTATCTATCCTTCCATCCATCCATCCACCCACCCATCCATCCACCCCTCCATCCATCCCTTCCTCTTCCCTCCCTCTGTCCACCCATCCACCCATCCACCCATACATCCATATATCCATCCTCCACCCACCCCTCCATCCATCTACCCACCCATCCATGATCCTTCCATCCACCCACCTATCCACCCACCCATCCATCCTTCCATCCATCCATCCCTCCACCCAACCATTCATCCACCCAGCCACTCACCTATCCATCCCTCCATTCCTCCATCCATTCTCCCATCCATCCATCCATCCATCCCTCCACCCAACCATTCATCCACCCAGCCACTCACCTATCCATCCCTCCATTCCTCCATCCATTCTCCCATCCATCCATCCATCCATCCATCCATCCATCCATCCATCCATCCTATCCATCCATCCATCCATCCATCCATCCATCCGGCCAGCCGGCCAGCTTGCTATCCTCAAGCTAGCCTTAAACTCTGTATAGAACTGAGGATGATCTCAAAGTCCTGATCCTCATGCCTCTAACTGCCATTCCTGGGGTAATAGGAAGCCACTACTCCCAGTTTGTGGGGTGCTGGTGATGGACCCAGAATTTTGTGCTCGGTAGGTGAGCTCTGCCCCATCCCCAGTCCCTGCAGGCAACTGTTCATGTTTCTGTTGCATTGTCCTGAGCTGGGATCCAACAAAACTGTGTCTCCAAAAGTGGCTCTGGCAGCCGAGTAGACAGGGGCAGCCTCAGGCACATGACTACAGACAGCACTCACCTGATGGTGGTGAAGTTTCCATCTGCTCTGCCCAAAAGGTGCTGCTGTTTGAGCTGAATTTCCTGTAGCAGAGACAGAGAGTGAGAAAGAGACAAAGAGACAGGGACAGGGACAGAGACAGAGAGACAGAGAAGAGAGACAGAGGGAGACAGAGAGACAGAAAGAAACAAAGTGAGACAAGGAGAAAGAGACATCGAGACAGAGACAGAGAAACAAGACAGAGGAGAGAGACAGGGACAGAGACAGAGAGAGAGACAGAGGGAGTCAGACAGAGGGACAGAGAGACAGATAAAGAAACCGAGGGAGACAGAAAGAGACAGAGACAGAGAAACAGAGGGAGGTAGAGAGAGACAAGATAGAGACAGAGACAGAGAAACAGAGGGAGGCAGAGAGAGACAAGAGAGAGACAGAGAAACAGAGGGAGGTAGAGAGAGACAAGATAGAGACAGAGACAGAGAAACAGAGGGAGGCAGAGAGAGACAAGAGAGAGACAGAGAAACAGAGGGAGGTAGAGAGAGACAAGATAGAGACAGAGACAGAGAAACAGAGGGAGGCAGAGAGAGACAAGAGAGAGACAGAGAAACAGAGGGAGGTAGAGAGAGACAAGATAGAGACAGAGACAGAGAAACAGAGGGAGGCAGAGAGAGACAAGAGAGAGACAGAGAAACAGAGGGAGGTAGAGAGAGACAAGATAGAGACAGAGACAGAGAAACAGAGGGAGGCAGAGAGAGACAAGAGAGAGACAGAGACAGAGAAACAGAGGGAGGCAGAGAGAGACAAGATAGAGAGACAGAGACAGAGAAACAGAGGGAGGAAGAGGCAAGATAGAGAGCACACACACATCCCATACACACATGTGGTATGAAACATGGAGACACACAAACACACAAACACACACACATACACCACGCACACACACACACACACACACACACACGGAGAGAGAGACAAGAGAGAGACAGAGACAGAGAAACAGAGGGAGGCAGAGAGAGACAAGATAGAGAGACAGAGACAGAGAAACAGAGGGAGGTAGAGGCAAGATAGAGAGACAGAGAGACAGAGACAGAGACAGAGGGACACAGAGACAGAGATAGAGAAACAGAGGGAGACAGAAAGAGACAGGGAGACAGAGATGGAGAAACAGAGAGAGGCAGAGAGAGACAGAGACAGAGATAGAGACAGAGAGACAGACAATGGGTTGCAGCAGGATATGCACAGATGCCTCCCAAGTCAGGGTGGGAGTTGGCAAGAGAGGGGAATGTGGTAATGGGGACACTGTCTGTCACCTGTCCAGCCCAGTCTGTCCTAGCTCTGTGTTCCAGAACCTTCCAGAAGCCCACCACACTGTGGTTCATGTCCCTCCTGATACTTGTCCTGGGCCCTGTGTCTGTCACTTCCTGCTTGTCCTGTGAAGTCTCTGGCTCTCCCTGGGGTCCCCTGCACTAACTCCAGCCTGCTCCTCATTCTTGGGAACTGGCCATTAGACCCCAGGTGTCTCTTCGGGACCTGACTTCACAGCCTCTCCGGTGACATCACAGGTAGGTAGTACCTCCCTGTGTCACCCTGGGGATCATGGGTAGGAGGTGTGCAAGGAATGTGGACGGGAGGAAGGTCCTTCCAGAACACACAGGATGTGCTGGGGTTTGGGTGGGGCGTGGTGGCCACTCCTCTCACCCAGCCTTGGGAAGCCCAGGCAGGAGAATGGTGAGAGCTCAAGGCCAGCCTGGCCTACAGAGGGAGATACCATCACAAAAACAAACCCAGAACAAAGGTGCCAGCTGGGAGTTTGGTTTGGTCAGGGTACTCACCAGTTTGTACTTAGAGTTGCCATCAAAGGTCGTTCCGAACTCCACCATGGATGCCTGGACTCCCAGGGAGTGAGGGTTGCTGACCATCACCTGGGGCATGACACAGAGCCATCTCTGAGGTGACAGCTACTCACGGAACCCCTGTTGACCCCAAGCTGGGAAACCCGAGTTCACAAGTGCCCAACACTGCCCCTGCCTTGGCCACCCACAGTGGCTTCAGAGCTGAGGGACCAGGGCTGGAGGATGCAGGGCTGAGGGATGCAAGACTGGATGGGGGGTGCCCAGGAATGTATAGGGAGGGCGGGGAGAGCAGGGACCTCACTTACCAGAGGAACTGGGGACTCTCTGGGCCTAGGGATAATCTGGGCAGACAGATCCAGCTTGCTGTTCATGTCAATGGTGTACATTTCCTTCTCCAGGGGGCCTTCCAGAAGCTCAACCTGCTTCAGCAAGCGACACAGGAGTGACAGGTGCCCTACACAGCCAGCTCCATAGAAAGATGAGGAGGTGGGGGGACGCCAGGGCACCAGGCATGGAACCTCCTGACCATTCTGGAGCACACACCAGGGTTCCCCGCCACTAGTTTCTGTGCTAAGTCTGTGTCCTCAGATACCCCAATGTCTACAAGTGTCCCCACCCCACATTTCCAGCAATTCCATCTCTCTAGTACTATTTTTTAGTACTAGGTATTGAATCCAGGCCCTGGAATATGTTAGGCTAGCGCTCTAATCCTGACATTCCAGCCCCTCACAGGGGACTCTAGGCTGTCACTCTACCCCCTAGCCACGCCCCCAGCCCCTCACTGGGGATTCTAGGCTGTCACTCTACCCCTAGCCACGCCCCCAGCCCCTAACGGGGATTCTAGGCTGTCACTCTACCTTGAGCCCCCACCCCCGCCCCTCGCTGGGGATTCTAGGCTGTCACTCTATACCTGGGCCACGCCCCCAGCCATCACTGGGGGATATTAGGCTGTCACTTTAGCTCTGAGCCATGCCACTAGCCCCTGTATTAACTTTAACACAGGGTCTTGCTCAGTTGCCCAGGCTGGACTGGGATTTGAAACCTGTCTTCCTCTGTGGCCCACCTAACTGGACAGTCCACACCTCCATCACTAGCTCAAGTTGACTTTTCTCCCTCATTTTACCTCCTTCTTCAAAGCAGAGATGGGCTCAGGATGGGGCTTACTGGTGAGGCCTGACCTCAAATTACATGAGGCCTGTTGCTGCACCCCCAGTGCCACCAGCTCCCACCTTCAAAATAAAACAACCAGAGGGGCTGGAGAGATAGCTCAGCAGTTAAGAGCACTGGCTGCTCTTGTAGAGGACCCAGGTTCCAGTTCCAGCACCCACATGGAGGCTAATAACTGTTCATAACTCCAGTTCCAGGGAATCCAACGCCCTCTTCTGACCTCTGCAAGCACTGCATGACATGGGGGGCATGTATACACATGCAGGCAACGCATTCATACACATGAAATAAAAATAATAAAATATTTAAAAATAAAACAAACAGGGCATTGGGATGGAGCTTCGCAGGGAGTGTCACCTACGTTACAGGGCTTCATCTGGAGGCTAGGGTCCATGAGCACTGCCTGGATGTTCACAGTGCACTTCCTGAAGTCAAAAGCAAGAAACTCTGTGTCCGGAACGGGGATCAGAACCTCCAGCATCCCAGGACTCTCGAACATGATAGCCGTGTCTTCTGACCAGAAGGGCTGCTCCATCAGCTGAGGGAGAGTTCTGAGATGGACTCCTCTGTCACTTTGTGTCTATTTTTCTACTTTCTTTTATTTTGTTTTTTTTGAGTCTTACTCTGTACCCCAGGATGGCCTGCACTCACAGCAATCCTCCCTCTGATCTGGTGAGTGCTAGGATGACGTATGGAGCCAGCATGCCCATCCCTTTCTTTAAAAAAAAATTTTTTTAAAGCTGGGCATGGTGGGCCACACCTGTAGTCCCAGCCTGGTCTACACAGTGAGTTCCAGGCCAGCCCCCACTGTGGGGAAAACCTGTCTCAAAATAATTATTAATAATATATATTAAATAATATTATAAATAATGATATATATTAAATACTGTTAATAATAATTAAATAATATTATAGATAATATTAAAATAATAATTATTTTGAGACAGGGTCTCCCTGTGGTCCCAGCTGACCTGGCACTCACAATGTAGCCCAGGCTGGCCTTGATCTCACAGAGATCTGCCTGCCTCTGCCACTGAGTGCTGGGGTTAAAGGTGTGGTTTGCCACACCTAGCAAATTTTTGTAAATTATATTCATCACACATGTGCATGAGTGTGCAGGTTCCACACTTGTGTTCACACTGCACAAACACCTTGAAGTGACCCACTCAGAGTGACCAAGTACATCAACTAAAATCTATGTATTGGGGGCTGGCAAGATGGTTCAGTGAGTTAAGGGAGCTTTCCACCAAACCTGATGACCAGGACCTGCATGGAGGAAGGAGAGAACTAACTTCTGAAGATTGTCCTCTGGGCTCCACATATGTGCTATGCCACAGGCATGGGCACGCACATGCGCACACACACACACACACACACATAAACACACATACACAAACACACACACACACAAGGTCAGACAGGCTGGCTGGCCAGCGAACCCCAGGGAGCCCTGTCCCCACTTCCCAAGCTCTGGGGTCACAGGCACACACTATCTTTCTAACGTGGTTTTGGGATTAAACTCAGGTCCTCACACTTACATAGCAGGCGTTTGACCTACTGAAACATCTCCCCAGCCTTATTTTATGGAGACGTTGGCTGGACAGGAATTTGGGATTAAACTGGTTTTAAAACTAAATGAGTGGCCGGGTGTGGTGGCACATGCCTTTAATCCCAGCACTCAGGAGGCAGAGGCAGGCGAATCTCTGTGAGTTCAAGGCCAGCCTGATCTACATAGTGAGTTCCAGGGCAGCTGGGGCTACAGGGAGACCCTGTCTCAAAAAGACCAGAAAAGAAAAAAAAAAAAAAAAAGACTAAATGAGCATCCGGGTATGGTGACGCACGCCTTTAATCCCAGCACTCAAGAGGCAGAGGCAGGCAAATCTCTGTGAGTTTGAGGCTAGCCTGGTCTACATAGTGAGTTCCAAGCCAGCTGAGTCTACAGGGAGACTCTGTCTCAAAAATATCCCCCCCCCCGAGGGGCTGGAGAGATGGCTCAGCAGTTGAGAGCACTGACTGCTCTTGCAGAGAACCTGGGTTCAATTCCCAGCACCCACATGGCATCTACGAACTGTCCTTAACTCCAGTTCCAGAGGAATCCGAAGCCCTTTTCTGACCTCCATGGCATTGCATGACATGGATGCACTCATAGAAATGCAGGCAATACACTCATACAAATAAAATTTTTTTAAAAAATCCTCCCCAAAAAGAATAAATGAGCAATGTCTATGCTCAGTTCATAGGCTGCTCACCTAACATGCACAGGGGCCTGGGCTCCATCCCAGCACCCCCCAAAACCAGACATGGTGGCACACACTTGTCATCCCAGCGCTTGGGAGGTGGAGGCAGGAGGATCAGAAGTTCACTGTCAGCCTCAGCTACATGAGGAGTTCGAGGCCTTCCTGTTCTACAGGAGACCCTGCCCCAATACAAAACAAATCCAAACAAAACATTTCAGGGGTGTGACCAGAGAGCAAGCACCACATCCTAACCACTGAGTAGGGACTTTAACACACTTGGATGACAACTGTGCGCAGGTATCCCTGGCTTCCGTAGTACAAGTGATCCTCCCGGGTCAGCACCCCCAGTTCATTCTCATCTGGGAAAAGAAAGCAAAGGCAAAATGACGTCAGTTCCCGGGACCAAGACGAATAGGCGGGTAAGAAGGCTCAGTATGTAAAGGGGCTTGTCGTCAAGCCCGACAACTTGAGTTCCATTCTCAGCACCCTCACGGTAGGAGGAGAAAACTGACTTCTGAGGGCTGTTTTCTGATCCCCACAAGCAACTCTGTGGCACACATGCTCACACACACACACACACACACACACACACACACACACACACGCACACAGCCTCCCACATAGGAATGTAATCAAATAAACAAAAAAAAGGAAAAGAATGAATCAGGCCTCATTGTAAGGCTGCACAGCAAGGTAGAAACTCAGGTCACAGCCCCCAGCTGTCCCTGAACTGGAAGTTCCAGCCTGGGAGTCACAACCGAGGTAGGCAGCACACAAGCCAGGCACACACAATCTGACCAATCACAGGCAGCCAAACCTTAGCCCAGCATATCCAGTCAAACGGTTCCCAGTCACACACAACCAAACCTCAGCCAATCACAAAACACCTAATCCCAGAAAATAACACCTACTCTCATCCAACCACATGCACACAAGCCTCAACCAATCTCATGTGGCCAAGGTTGGACCAATGGCATACAGGTAAACGAGTCAATCTCTCTCTCTCTCTCTCTCTCTCTCTCTCTCTCTCTCTCTCTCGCTCTCTCTCTCTCTCTCTCACACACACACACACACACACACACACTCAGTGGGACCTCAGCCAATGTCCACATAGGTAGGGAAGGAAGGATGAAAGGGGAGGTGGGGGGGGGAGTGGATAGAGCAAGCCACCCACAGATGTGCCACCCACTTAAGGCGATGGAGTGGATGGTGATGTTGTTGTTGGTGAGCGAGTCTAGCACGATGGTCTGCCCTTCTTGCAACTGTACTGTGTCCACAAACTGGCCTAGGAGGGGACGGACAGATAAGTCATGAGACATGTGGGTACACTACAAAAGTGGGTGCACACCACAGAGACCAGGGGCTTTCCCCTGCCCCCCAACCTGCCTGCTGCCCTCACTTGGTTCCTAGGTCTGTTGATTGGTTTGTTGTTTGAAAGACCAAAAAGATAAATTCAGAGCTGGGGTAGGAATTCAAAACATGAAAAGTCACACTGGCTTGGGGAAAGTGGGGTCCCCTGAGTCGCCTTAGTAACAGCTGTGTAAAATGTCAACTGAATTAATCATAAGACAGATGGCTCATGATCCTGGGCATACCTATGGAGTGACCATTCATAGGGGCAAATCTCTCACATCAACCAATGGATAACGGGAGGCTGCGAGCGAAGATGCACAGCTGCAATTGAAGCTCTCAGGGGCGCTGAGGCAGAAGGACCAGTACTTCAAGACCAGCCTGGTCAACTTGGTGATGCTGCATCAAACACTACAGAAGAGAGCCCTGGGCATGGTTCAGCAGACTTCTGCCTAGCATCTCCCTGTGAGGGGCTGAGGTGTGGCTCAGGGGTAGAGTGACACCCTAGAATCCCCAGTGAGGGGCTGGGGGCGTGTCTCAGGGTAGAGTGACAGCCTAGAACTGGGGGCGTGTCTCAGGGTAGAGTGACAGCCTAGAATCCCCAGTGAGGGGCTGGGGGCGTGGCTCGGGGTAGAGTGACAGCCTAGAATCCCCAGTGAGGGGCTGGGGGCGTGGTTCAGGGTAGAGTGACAGCCTAGAATCCCCAGTGAGGGGCTGGGGGATGTGGCTCAGGGTAGAGTGACAGCCTAGAGTCCCCCAGTGAGGGGCTCCAGTTTTAGTGAGAGATTATATACCAAAAAATGGCATGGAGATCAACTGAGTAAGACCCTGATGGCAACCTCTGGCCTTCTCATGCGCATATAAACACAAGATCCAGGGTCCCCAGTGCAAATCTTTTTTTTTTTTTTTTTTTTTTTTTTTTTTTTTTGTATTTTTGAGACAGGGTCTCCCTGTAGATCCAGCTGGGACCTGGAACTCTATGTAGACCAGGCTGGCCTTGAACTCACAGAGATTCACCTGCCTCTGCCTCCCAATTGCTGGGATTAAAGGTGTGCACCACCATGCCCAGTTCCCAGCACAAATCTATCAGAACTGGCTGAGGCCCTAGCAGAGTAGCTCACCTACGTTGGGGGACACAAACAAACTGGTCTGATTCCAGAAGATCAGAAAACCCCTCTGGCCTGGGCTCTGGATGATGTCAAGTTGTTCGTGTTGCTCGAAGAACTGCCCCCAACTGCGGTTCAGGGGGTGATCGGAGTAGATGAATACTGCCTGAGATACAAAATGCAGCTGATTCCCCCTGATACAAGTTCAGATAGCTGTTCAGTCCATTCTGGAACCTTCTAGCACCCTTAAGTCTACTGAGGCATGTGCTTCTCAATGGGGAAGCAGGGGAGACAGGAACTCCTGGGGGTGCCTGCCAGGTGATATCTAGGGACTTCTGTGGCTGTCAAGACTTGGGGAGCTCCTGGTATGATGGGCAGAGGTCAGGGATTGTTCTGCACTGAGCCCAGCCCAGCTCACAGGGAGCAGCATGATCACAGAATCTAAAGGAGATGTAATGGTTAATGTTTGGGGTTTTTTTTAAAAGATTTTATCTCTGTGTGTGTGTGTGTGTGTGTGTGTGTGTGTGTGTGTGTTTCAAACAGGGTCTCACTTTGTAGCCCTGGCTGGGTTGGAACTCCCACTGGTCCATCTGCCCTGCCTAAAAAGTGCTGGGATTAAAGGTTTGTGTTAGACAATATTTTATTAGTATTAGTATTAAAAATATTTTGGTTTTTGAGACAGGATCTCACTGTGTAGGCCAGGCTGGTTTTGAACTTAGAGATCCACCTATCTCTGCATCTAAGTGCTGGGGTTAAACACATGCAACACCATACCTGGCCTAAGGTACATGTGTGTGTGTTGGGTGTGTGTGTGTGTGCACATTAGTGCAGGTGCCTGTGGAGGCCAGAAGAGGGCGACAAATCACCTTGCGTTAGAGTTACAGGAGGTTGTGAGCCACCAGACATGGGTGCTAGGAATGAAAATCAGGTCCTCTGGAAGAGCTGCCAGCGAAGAGCAGCCAATGTTCTCAACAGCTGAGTCATCTCTCCAGCCCAACCATGTGATCTGAGGATGAACTCAGTACCTCTTGCTTTCCCAAGGAAACCCTTTACTTCTGGAACTCTAGCTCCAGGGGATCTGCTCTTTCTTCAGGTCTCTGTGGGCACTGCACTTACATGCTAAATTCATTCACACGCAAACATACAAATATATACTTTTGGGGGGGCGATGTCTTTTTGAGAGTAGCTGTCCTGTTCCAGCTGTCCTGGACCTCACAGAGATCGCCTGCCTCTGCCTCCCAAGTGCTGGGATTAAAGGTGTGTGCCACCATGCCTGGCTTACACATAAGTTTTTGAATTTACATTTATTTATTTATTTATTTATTTTATTTTAGGTGTAGGAGTGTTTTGCCTGCATGCGAGTGCACCCATGTGTGCAATGCCCATGGAGGCCATAAGAGGGCGTCAGATCCCCTGGAACTGGAGTTACAGATGATTGTTAGGCACCATGTGAATGCTGGGAATGTAACCTGGGTCTCCAGGAAGAGCAGCCAGTGCTCTTAACTACTGAGCCAGCTCTCTAGGCCACTACATAATTTTTTAAAGTCAGGGTGTGACATGTATTTCTGACTCCAGCACATGGCAGGCATGGACAGGACAATCTCTGCTCACTGGCCATCTAGTCAGGTCTAATGTGCACACACATGCACATGTGCCTGTGCACACACTCCAAAATGCACACACACACACACACACACACACACACACACTCACACACGGAAAATAAAGTAAAATAGACAAAGGAACAAAATAGGACCATTGCTCATCTCAAGGGCATGCGGCAGGTCTCTTTGGACTGGGTTGGTTACCAAAAGAGCAGGTAGTTAGAAGGCAAGGCTGTTCTGTGTGTTTGGCCCATTTGCACAAGCACCTACCACAAGGTGCCATCTGCAACATGACCACACAGCCTGAGGACTCACCAGAATCCTCAACCCCTAAGCCAAGATCCCCAAACCCTTCTGTTCTTCAAAAGTCTTGAGTCTAAGGCATTTGGTTATAGCGATACAACATGGACTGAGAGACCAGTGTCACTCTGTGATGTTTCAAGTCATGACCCTTAGTAAGGGGCTGAGATGGCAGAGCAGAGCAGATCCTGCCTAGAATCCCCCAGTGAGGGACTGTGAGATGTTTGGATATGTTTGTAGATATATGGATAGATTCATGGGCTGATGAATGGGTGGATGAGTGGATGGACGGATGGGTGTGTGGGTGGGTGGGTGAATGAGTGGATGGATGGATGGTTGGGCGGGTGGGTGGGTGGATGGGTGGATGGATGAGTGGATGGATAAATGGATGAATGGGTGGTTTGATGAATGGATGTGAGGATGAATGTTTGGATAGATAGATGGGTTAATGGATGAGTGTATGGATGGAATGATGGATGGATGCATGGATGAGTGAATGGATGGAGATGGGTTGGTGGATAGATGGGTGGGTATATAGGTGAGTGGATGGGTGGAATGCTAATTAGGTGGGCAAATGGATGGAGGGGTGGATCGGTAAGTGTATGGGTTGGTGGATTGGGGTAGATTGCTGGGTAAATGGATGGTGAATGAATAGATGGATGGGTGGATGGATGGGATGGTGTTTGTATAGACGGATTGTAGGTGGTTAGATAGGTGAATGTGTGGGTGTGGGTGGATTGGTGGATGGATGGGAGGATTGGTGGGTAGATGGTTTGATGGAAGATGGATGGTAGGTGGGGGGATGGGGCGGATGGTGAGTTAGATGTATGTGTGGATGGTTGGGTGGGTGCATGAAAGTGGTTCAAGGTGTGGATGGGTAAATGTGATGAATGAGTAGATGGATGGTTGGATGAGTGTGTGAGTGAAGGAACGAAAAGGTAATTGCATTTGAGGTCTGACGAGCTACCTGCATGCTCAGCGTGGTGGAGCTCACCTGTCCTCCCATCATTTGGGATGTACAGGTGGAAGTAATCAGAAATTCAAAGACAATCTGGGCTATAGGAGACCCCATGTCACACTGTGTTACTAAGAAATCCAAAAGAGCTCACGTGAAGAGTTCTGTCCTAACCCTGCTCTGATCTGGATCTCTGAAGAGGCTACTCACCGATTGGTTTCTGAATGTGAACACCCCAATCTGAGACAGGGAGTGGAAGTGGAAAATGCCTTCCACTGTTCCTGTCAAATGTCTCTAAGGAAGCAAACAGAAAATAGCACATACATGTACACTGATAGCAGATTTACTGTGTGAGACATTACAGCATTTTGTATTTACCTGAGAATTTAAGCTTAGGTTATTTCCTCAGCTCAAATAAAGGAAAGGTTGGTTTCAACTCTGTTTCTTGGCTCTAGGCACACAATACACCTAACAGGAAGGTGAGCAACAGGCGCTCCCTGGGGAGGACATGAAGTGTCCTAAAGACTGTCCGTCTTCCTTGCTGGGATCTGGGAACCAAACCCCTGCAAGAGCGGCAAAGGCTCTTATCCACTGAGTCCCCGTCCAATCCCCTGTCTCAAGTTTGACTGAATAGAAAAGTATCCTAGAACTGGGGTTATAGCTTGGTTTGTAGAGTGCTTGCCTAGCATGCATGAAACTCTGACTTCCATACCCAGAACTACACAAACCAGGTGTGGTAGCACATGCCTTCCACCTCACCACTCAGGAGGCAGAGGCAGGAGGAGCAGAAGTTCAAGTCATCCTTAGTGGTTACTTTGGGATCAGCCTGGACTAAAAGAGAGAGAGAGAGAGAGAGAGAGAGCGAGCGAGCTGGAGGGGCTCATGATGAGCTGCACTGCTCTTTTTTTTTTTTTTTTTTTTTTGGTCTTTTTGAGACAGGGTCTCCCTGTAGCCCCAGCTGTCCTGGAACTCACTATGTAGACCAGGCTGGCCTTGAACTCACAGAGATCTGCCTGCCTCTGTCTCCTGCGTGCTGGGATTAAAGGCGTGTGCCACCACACCCAGCAATATCTCTTTTTTAAAAAATATTTTATTATTTTTATTTTATGTGTATGTGTGTATTGCCTGCATGTAGATAAGTACACCTGTGTTGTGAAATGCCCACGGAAGACAGAAGAGGCTGTCGGATCCCCTGGGACTGAGCCAACTCTCCAGCACTGAGTTGCATCTTTTGAGGGCACACCCCTCTCAGTGGCCTACTCCCTCCAAGTAGGTCCCCCTCCTAGCTTCCACTACCTCCCAATAATGCCATCAAATTGTGAACCCATCAATGGTGACTCCACTAATGAGGTCAGAGCATCACAAACTGATCACCTCTCAAGAGCACCACATCTGGGCAGTGCATGGGGTCCAAACTCTCACCAAAGGAGCCTTTGGCGGACACTCAGCACTCAAAGCACAGCTTTCCTCTCAGTGAGGTCTGTGCTTTTGCTCTTTGGTCATGTGAGAACCACAGGGTTTGTCTGCTCTGGCCCATCATGACTCCTGCTCTTCCCTCCCTTCCTGTTAAGCCATATGTATATTCTTCTGTGGACACCGTCTCAGGATGTTGGCTTGGAGGGAGAGGGCAGCCGTCTCAGAATTAGAAAGAATAGAATTAGAGGACAGTCATATTGGGATTAAAGGGCAGCCATCTTGAAATTTCAGAGTAGCCATATTGGAATTATAGGTCAGCCATCTTGGAATTAGAAAGTAGCTATCTTGGGGCTCAGCGGTTAAAAGCACTGGCTGCTCTTGCAGAGGACCAGAGTTCGATTCCCAGCATCCACATGATGGATAGCAACTGTCTGCAACTCCAGTTCCAGGGGATCTGACGACCTCTTCTGACCTCCATGGGCATTGCACAACACAGGTGCACCTACCTACATGCAGGCAATACACTCATACACATAAAATAAAAATAATAAAATATTTTAAAAAAGAAAATTGCTGTCTTGGAATCAAAGAGGACCATCTTGGAATTAGAGGGCAGCCATCTTGGCTGTAGAAGGTGGCCGTGTTGGCAGTAGAGTGTGGTCATCTTGGAAGCAGACAGTAGCTGTTACAACCCTGATCCTGCAGGTACCTTGAACTGGAACTGCCCAGCATCTAGAAATGTTAGAAGTGATTTTCTGTTCTGTTTTGCTCTATTTTCTTGCAACAGGGTCTCGCTCCATAGCTTTGAACTCTAGATCCTTCTACCTGAGCCTTCCAAGTTCTAAGGTCACTGGTGTGTGTGTCCATACCTCAACTGGACATTCTCTTCCTCATCTATCAGCCAGTCTTGGATATTTTGTTATAGCAACTGCAGAAAGCCTAAGAGAGGCATAGTTTGAGGTCCTGTGTGGATAGGTTTTGGAGGGACCCAGCTCTGCCGTCCTGGTGCTAGGACAGCTGCTAATGGCAGTGGTCTTCAGGTTGGCACTGGCTTCTGATCATAGTCTCATGTGAGGACTTTGCCTGGCTCCAGGCTTTCACAAGTGATCCATTCACAGTGCCTTGATTTTATGGTTGTAAAACCTTTTGTCCCTTGAATAAATTTTAGCTCCTGAGCCAGCCTCTTTGATAATGGAATTTCCAGAATCTCCTGGACAATTAGATCCTTAACGAGACCTGTTCACCATTTGTCAGGTAATTCCTGCAGTCCTATGGGGTGTCTGTCTGTCTGTCTGTCTGTCTATATTTTGAGATGGAGTCTTACTATGCTGCCCACCTGGTCCCAAGTTTCTATGGTCAAGTAGAAAGCCCCTGAGTAGCTGGGACCACAGATCTTTTATATCTGTACATTACAATGTTATTAGCATATGTTAATTATACAAAACTGGGTTTCGTGATGACATCTTCATACATGTATATTGTCTTTTGATCATGTCCCGTGTTACCCTGTCTTGTTCTGCTCCAAGTTCTGCTCAGCCCCTCCTTTTCCCAGCGGGTCCTCTTCTATTTTAGGACCCAATGAGTGTCCTTGGTATTGCTTACAGGAGCATGAGTGATGGGGTAATTTTCAGAAGCATGGGTAACTTAGCACTGCTGCACTACTTAGGAAAATGTCTCTCCTCAGAAGCAACCATTAACTGTGTGCACAACTCCAGGGAGGGGAGATACCTTTCAAGCTCATCCTCTCTCCTCCCCCTGCCCCCTCCTCTTCCCCCTCCCCCTCCTCCTCCCCTCCTCCTCCGCCTCCTGCTCCCTCTCTCTTCTTCTGCCTCCCCATCCTCCTCCCTCTCCCCTCCCCACTCCTCTTCCTCCTCTTCCTCAACCCCCTCCTCCACCTCCTCCTGCCCCTCCCCATTTTTCTCTTGTCAGCTGCACATACCTGTCTTTCATCCACAAGGATCTGGAAGCTGAATCCTCCATTAGTTGAGAAATACACAACAGTGTTAGCCAGCTGATCTCCACGGAAATATGCAAAAAGCTTATTGGTTATTTCCTAGAGAAAATAACATACAGAAGACAGTCTCCTCAAAAGAGGAAAGTGGAGCTGGACCTGTAGCTCAGCATGCAGAGTTTGTAAAGCTCAGCAGGCAGAGTCTTATAGCTCAGTGTACAGAGTAAATTTACAGCTCAGTGTGTAGAGTGTGTGAAGCTCAGTGGGCACAGTGCTTATAACTCAGTAGATAAAGTGCTTGTAACTCTGTTAGAGTCCTTGTAGCTCAGTTGTTGGAATACTTTTAGCTCAGTATATAGAGTGTATGTAGCTCAGCGTGTACAGTGCTTGTAGCTCAGTGCGTAGAGGACTCACCTACTATGCACGAAGCTCTGGATTCCATCCCCAGCACCATATTAACGAGGCACAAGCCTGTCTTCCCAGCACTCAGGATGGGGAGGCAGGAGGATCAAGACTTCAAGGTTGGGGCTAGAGAGCTGGCTCAGTGGTTAAGAGCACTGGCTGCTCTCACTGAGGACCCAACTTGGTTCCCAGCACTCACATGGGAGCTAACAACCATCTGTAACTCCAGTTCAAGGGAATCCGACCTCCTCTTCTGACCTCCATGTGACTGCACACAGGTGGTTACATACATGCAGATAAAATACTTGTATACAGCCGGGTGTGGTGGCACACGCCAGTAATCCCAGCACTTGGGAGGCAGAGACAGGCGGCTCTGTGTGTGTTCAAGGCCAGCCTGGTCTACATAGTGAGTTCCAGGACAGCTGGGACTACAGGGAGACCCCATCTCAAAAAAAGTCTTGTCTTTGGGTAGTTAGTTCAGAAAAATGGAAAAATGACTTTATGTTTGCATGAAAACTTGCATGCAACTAACTGTTGTATGGGGCATGACTCAGGGTAGAGTGACAGCCTAGAATCCCCAGTGAGGGGCTGGGGGCGTGGCTCAGTGTAGAGTGACAGCCTAAAATCCCTATTGAGGGGCTGGAGGCATGGCTCAGGCATAGAGTGACAACCTAGAATTCTTCAGTGAGGGGCTCCCGTTTCAGTGAGAGATTATATCTCAAAAAGTGACATGGGGAGAGATGGCTCAGTGGTTAAGAACACTGGTTATTCTTGCAGAAGACCCAGGTTTGAATCCCAGCACCCACATGGCAGCTAACAACTGTCCATAACTCCAGTTCCCGGGGATCCAACAGCCTCTTCTGTCCTCTGTGGGCACTGTATGACATGGGTGCACTTACCTACATGCAGGCAATACATGCATACACATAAAATAAAGATAACAATATTAAAAAAAATAAAACATTTTTTAATTAAATGTAAAATTCCAGAAGTAGCCAGCGTGGTGGCACATGCCTTTACTCCCAGCCCTTGGGAGGCAGAGGCAGGGGAATCTCTGTGAGTTTGAGGCCAGCCTGGTCTACATAGTGAGTTCCAGGCCAGCTGGGGCTACAGGGAGATCCTATCTCAAAAAGACACACACACACACACACACACAAAATCTGAAAGAAAACAGTTTGCAAGTTTGACCTTGCTTTCCATTCCACGTATGTGTTGAAATCTCACGCCAACCTGCATGTCTCTTCTGGGATGTGACCTGATGGCTTTGCAGTGTTTCCACCCGGTACAGATGGCCCCTACCCCCCAGCAGCCATCCTGTAGGTTCTCTACCATTAGATCCATTGTCGTAGGATCGCAGTGCCATGTTCAAGGCTGACTGTATCTATCTCTCAACTTTTTAAAAAAATTAAAAAAAAACTTTTATGTGTATGAATGTATATTGCCTGCATGTGTGTAAGTGCATCTGTGTGTGCAATGCCCATGGGGGCCAGAAGCAGGCATTGGATCCCCTGCACTGGAGTTATAGTTGGTTGTTAGGTGCCATGTGGGTGCTGGGAACTGAACCCAGGTACTCTGCCAAGGTAGTCAGTACTCCTAACCACTGAGTCAGTTCTCCATCCTGTGTCTCAGCTTTTTATTTTTATTTATTTACATATTTTAATTTGGCTTTTTAAAAAAATACAGGTTCTCATTGTATAGACAAGACTGGCCTTGATTTCTCAAAGATTTAAGCCTCTCCCTCATAGGTTTATATGAGTATCAAACAACAGTGGCCAGGTGTGGTGGTGCATGTCTTTAATCCCAGCACTTGGAGGGAGGCAGAGACAGGCAGATCTCTGTGAGATCAAGGACAGCCTGGTCTACATAGCAAGTTCCAGGCCAGCTGAGGCTACAGGGAGACCCTCAAAAGGACCAAAAACAAAACAAAACAAAACAAAAAACCCAAAACAGTGTGAGGGGTTAGAGATCTGGCTCAGCAGTTAAGAGCACTGGTTGCTGTTCCAAAGGATCCAGGTTCAGTTCCCAGCACCTAAATAGGGGCTAACAACTGTCCAGAGGATCCGACACCCTCTTTTGGCTTTTGTGGGCATTGTACACATGTAGTGCACTTACTTATGTGTAGGTAAGTAGAAAAACAGTATGATCTGGGTGTGGTAGTCACATCTGTCATCCCAGCACGTGGGAAGTGGAAACAGGAGGATTAGGGGTTCCAGGCTATTCTCTGCTTCATAGTGAGTTTGAGGCTAGCCTGGGCTGTATGAGTCCTTACCTCAAAAACCAAAAGACCATAAGAAGACAAACTAATAAAAAATTAGTTTGAAGCCAGGTGTGGTGGTGCATACTTTTAATCCCAGCACTCAGGAAGCAGAGGCAGGTGGATCTCCGTGAGTTCAAGGTCAGCCTGGTCTACATAGCGAGTTCGAAGCCAGCTGGGCTACAGGAAGACCATCTCAAAAAAAAAGGCCAAAAAGCCAAAACAAAACAGTTTGATTATGTCTCAGATCCCACAGTGGGATTAGGGGTCTGACCCCTCTGAACCTTAAGAGGCTGGCCATGGGGAGGGGACACTGATCAGGGCCACCACACTGCAGTCTCTACTCTCACTGTTGGAGGGCATTCCTAAGTATTTTCATTTCCAAATAGAATTTATTTATTTTTAAAAATATTTTATTATTATTATTACAGTTTGATTATGTCTCAGATCCCACAGTGGGATTAGGGGTCTGACCCCTCTGAACCTTAAGAGGCTGGCCATGGGGAGGGGACACTGATCAGGGCCACCACACTGCAGTCTCTACTCTCACTGTTGGAGGGCATTCCTAAGTATTTTCATTTCCAAATAGAATTTATTTATTTTTAAAAATATTTTATTATTATTATTATTATTATTATTATTATTATGCATGTATGTGAGGGCACCCCTGTTTTGCAATGCCGTGGCCGTAAAAATTTAAAAAAATTTTTTAAAGTTAAGCTGAGCCGGGCATGGTGGCACACACCTTTAATCCCAGCACTCGGGAGGCAGAGACAGGCGGATCTCTGTGAATTTAAGGCCAGCCTGGTTTATATAGTGAGTTCCAGGACAGCTGGGGCTACAGGGAGACCCTGTCTCAAAAAGACAAAAAAAAGAAAGATTCCACTTACCAGGCAAAAGGAACTTCCTTTAAAACAGCAAGTGTCTCCACTGACATGAGAAACAGTGTGATGGACACCTGAGATGTAAATATATTAGTTAATATATTAGTAATATATTAAATATGTATTTAAATGTAAATATATATATTAGTTCATTATTTTTATTTTATTATATTATTTAATTTTTTTCTTTATGGGTACGTATGTGAAGGGTCGTGTACATGTGGAGTGTAGTTCCTGTGGAGACCAGAAGGGGGAGTCTGAGCCTGTCAGCCAAGCACTCAAGATGCTGATGCAGGAAGATGACCAGGAGTTTGATACAAACGAGACCATCTTGAGAAACCAAAACAAGGGTCTGGAGAGATGCTTAGTGGCTAAGTATGCATTGTTCTTACAGGGCCTTCTGAGTTCTGTTCCTAGCACCCACATGGCAGGTAACAATCTCTGTAACTCCAGTTCCAGGGATCTGATGCCCTCTTCCACCCTCTGCAGGCATTGCATGCAGGTGGTACACATAAACTCACACAGGTGCTCTCTCTCTCTCTCTCTCTCACACACACACACACACAAATATTAAAAATATCTAAAAGAATTGGCCAGGTGTAGTAGTGCACACCTTTAATCCCAGCACTTGGGAGGCAGAGACAGGTGGATCTCTGTGAGTTCCAGGACAGCCTGGTCTACACAGTGAGTTCCAGGACAGCTGGGGCTACAGGGAGACCCTGTCTCAAAAAGACAAACAAAACAAAACAAAACAATATCTAAAAGAATCAACAGCATACAAAACACCACAAAGCTGGGGGAATGCACAGACCTGAAGCCTGGTTCCAAGTTTTGTCTTTATAATTATAAATGAAGATTTTCCCATCCACAACGAATAGTATTATAACATCAGTGGAGAAGTGAGCGCACGTGACTTCCGCTTTCTGCACCTAAAAACAATGACATGGGTTGTGTTCCCTACATATTCCTTGCTCTGTCAAAATGCTGACTCAAGCGGCTTAGAGGAGGAAGGTTCCTTCTGGCTCATGATTCAAGGATACTATCCGACACCATGGCAAGAGTGACAGGTGTGTCGCACTCGCAGTCAGGAAGTGGAGAGAGATGAACACTGGTGCTCAGTTCACTGCCTCCTTTCAGCTTAGTGCAGGACCCTGGCCCAGGAATGGTGCTGCTCACATCTAGGGTGGGTCTTCCCACCTCAGTTACCCCAATCTAGAAACTTCCTCACAGACACACCTGGAGGCTTGTCTCCACTGTGATTCTAGATCTTGAGAAACTGAGGAGGGAGATGACCTGAGTACTGTACAGGCAACGTTGGCTTTTTGGACATCAGCTAGAAAGCAATCATTCTGTACATACAGAAACAGTTTAGGTCAATAAAACATCCCATTTCCTTATTTATTGGTAGAGTCTCACCCTGTAGACCAGGCTGGCTTAGAACACACAGAGATCCACCTGCCTCTGCCTCTAATGGGTTGGTATTAAAGGCGTGAGCCATCTTCCCCTGCTGACCACCTTATTTTTTAAATATTTTATTTATTTATTTATTTATTTATTTATTTATTTAGGCCTGCATGTATGTGAGTGCACCTGTGTCATTCAAATATGTAGACCAGGCTGGCCTTGAACTCACAGAGATCTGCCTGCCTCTGCCTCTGGAGTGCTGGAATTAAAGGCGTGTGCCACCACGCCTGGCTAATACTTATTTGTTATTTTACATGTATGGTATGAGTGTTTTGCCTGCATGTATGTAAGTGCACCATCTGTGTGCAATTCTTGAAGATGCCAGACAAGGGCGACACATCCCCTAGAACTGGAGTTATGCATGGTTGTTAGCCATCTTGTGGATGCTGGGAACTGAACCTGTATCCTCTGCAAGAGCAGCCAGTGCTCTTAACCACTGAGTCAGTTCTTCATTCCTATGGAAGTTTTATTTTTGACATGAGGTTTCCTAGATCCTGGCACTCTCTGACTCATCCTGGCTAGCTGGCCAGTGAGCCCTGGGATCCTCCAATCTCCACTTCCCCAGGTCTGACATCACAGGTGTGCACAGCAGATGTTCACATGGGATTCAAACCCAGATCCTCAGTGCTTACACAGCAAATGCTTCCCCCACTGAGCCATGTCCTCAGTGCCTACCTTGCTTCTTACATGTTAAGACTCAGTGTGCACAATTATCTGACTAGACACCAAACTGGGAAGGGGAATCAGTCTCTGACAACCTCTGTTCCCTCCAGTTGGCTCCATGTCCTTCTTCCTCTACAGAAACCTCTCTTAGGGCTGGTGAGGTATTGGGTTTGATTCCCAGCACCTATGTGGTGACTAACAACAGTCCTTAACTCCAGTACCGGGGTTAGACACCCTCTTCTGGCCTCTGATGGCATTGCATGCATGTGGTGCACTTACATACATGTAGACAAAACACTCATTCACATTAAGTAAATAAATAACTTTTTAAAAACTTTCCTGAGTTAGCCAGGTGTGGTGGCACATGCCTTTAATCCCAGCACTTGGGAGGCAGAGGCAGGTGGATCTTTGTGAGTTCGAGGCCAGCCTGGTCTATATAGTGAGTTCCAGGTCAGCTGGGGCTACAAGGAGATCCTGTCTCGAAAAGACCAAAAACAAGAACAAAAAAAAACTTTTCTGAGTTGGGTGGTGTATGTCTGTCATCCCAGCACTCAGCAGACCAAGGCAGGAGAATTGTGAGTTCCAGGCTAGCCTGGGCTATACAGTGAGTTCAAAGCCATCTTGAGTAACTTAACAAGACCCTGCCTCAAAATAAAAAAGTAAAAAGAGGGTCAGGCATGGTGGCACAAGTCTTTAATTCCAGCACTTGGCAGGCGGAGGCAGAGGCAGGTGAATCTCTGTGAGTTCAAGACCAGCCTGGTTTCCATAGCGGGTTTCAGGTCAGCTGGGGCTACAGGAAGACCCTGTCTTGACAAAAAAATAAAAACAAAAAAATAAAATAAAAAGAGGGACGGGAATGTGGCTCAGAGGCAGAGCCACTACACTGAGTTCTCTGGCGCTGGGGACAGAGCCCAGGACATTGTGTGTGCTAGGCCAGTGTGCTGCCAACTGAACCCTGACTCCAAAGGAGCATGCTCGTGGCTTCAGTATAGCAGGTCAGGTCTCTCACAGTTCAAACACTTGCTCCCATGCTTCTGGGAGCACGCAGACCCTCTCAGAGCTGAAGACTTGAAGGATGCTGAGGCTGCAAGGCGGGCTTTGGGGTTTCACAGCCTGGCCTTGTTTTCTGTATTCTGCCTGCTTCCTGGTCAGCTCAGCTGTGCGCAAGACACCTCTACAACCTGAAGCCACAGCTAAATGGCCACAATGGACTGCACCCCCAAACTATGAGCCCAAAGAACCCTCTCCTCCCTCAAGTTACTGTAGACAAGTTCTTTATCACAGCCAGAAGACAAGCAACCAACACAACCAGTTTAAAGAATAAAATTTAAAATGGGCTGAGGCTGTAGCTTGGTGGTAGAGGGCTTGCCTAGCACATGCAAGGTGCTCAGCTCTGTCCCCAGTGCTGGACCAGCAAGAAGGCTCAGTGGGTACAGGGGCTTGCTGTCAAGCCTGATGACCTGAGTTTGATCCTCAGGCCCCACATGATATCAGGTGTCCCTGACTTTCACAGTCCCCTGAGTGTGGCTCATTTGGAGTTTCAGATTGTGGGCAAAAGAACCTACCGCCATCGACCTGGGAATTCTGAGTGGCAGGAGACTGCTACCAAAGTTATCTAAGGTGAGGAACACATTCTTCCTGAAACCCAGAAGAAAAGACCAAAATTAGGAATGTTTCTCCTAGGACAGAAGACAGTGAGGGGCTTAAAGCCTCCCTTACAGATTCCCCAAAATGACATAGAGGGGCTGGAGAGCTGCTCAGCAGTTAAGAGCACTGGCTGCTCTTGCAGAGGACCTAGGTCTGCTTCCCAGCATCCACATGGTAGCTAACAACTGTTTGGATCCCCCCTCCAGTTCCAGGGGATCTGATGCCTCTTCTGACCTCCATGGACATTGCATGACATGCGTGCCCTTATATACATGCAGGCAAAACACTCAAAACACATAAAAATAAAAAGTAAAATATTTTTAAAAATGACAGAGTCATAAAGACAAAGAGACAAAAATGAAGCAAAGCCTCGAACTGCTGCACCTGTCATCCCACACTGGGGCATGAAGACAGGAGAATCCCAAGTTCTCGGTCAACCTTGATACATAGTGAGATCCAGGACAGCCTGGGTTATATGAGACCATCTCTAAATGCTAACAAGTAAGTGAATAAATGTGTGTGACCAGCAGGGGTGGTTTTCCTCCGTCATCGATGTCAACGCTGGAGAAGCTGAGGCAGGAAGATTGCTCCCGGTCTAAGAAAATGGGCAGGCAAGAGGGCTCAGTGGGTCAAGGGGGTTGCCACCAAGTCAGATGATTTGAGTCATCTGTCCCAGGACCCACATGGTAGTTTGAGAGAATTGATTCTACAGGTTGTCTTCTGTCCCCCACATATGTCCATACACATATACAGGAATCAATAAATGTAATAAAAAGGGGAGAGAGCCTGGGGATCTAGCTCAGTGATTAGAGCACGTTAGCCCTGGTTCAGTCCCCAGCACCCACATAGCAGCTGAAAACCGTCCAACTCCATTTCCTAGGCCCTCTTCTGGCTTCCATGGGCATTGCACACATGGGTGCACTTATATACACACAGGCAAAACACTTACACATAAATTTTAAAAATTAAAAAAAAGAGAAGCCACGTGGTGGTGCAGGCCTTTACTCCCAGTACTTGGGAGACAAAGGCAGGCAGATCTCTATGAGATGGAGGCCAGCCTGGTCTACATAGTGAATTCCAGGCCAGCTGAGGCTATAGGAAGACCCTGTCTCAAGGAAAGGAAGGGGAGCAGAGGGGAGATGGGGAGGGGAAGGGAGAAGGGAGGGAAAGGGAGAGGGATGGGGAGGGGGAGGGACGAGGAGAGGGACAGGGAGATGAGGGGGGAGGGAGGGAAAGGGAGAAGAACGGGGAGGGGGGAGGGAGGGGAGGGAAGGGAAAATAATCTTGATCATCTGTGGGTGCTGTGTTGAATCACAGATGTGGGAGCCATGTGCACCATGATGGTGTTTAGCTGAGTTTGGCTTCTGTCTCCTGGACATCCTGCTGGCCAAGACTAAGGACTCATGGTAGAGCTTCTCATGTTTTTGAGCAAGTGAGGAAGGAGGGGGGAGGGAGGGAGGGAGGGAAGGTAAGGCAGTTGCAGTCACTGCTCACCCCAAATACACGGCCACTTTGTCCTTGCACCTGTGTCTGATCAGGGTAATAGTGGGGTAAGCAGAATACAGCAGGTTCTAGAAGAAACACAGGGAGGCCTGGAGTCAGCAAGGCCAGCGCAGTGAACTCATTCCTACATTCTGGATGGGAACCCAGAGCTGGGTGCAGGCCTATCCACCCCAGCACTCAAGAGGAGGTCTGGGTCAGCCTGGCCTGCATAATACCTTTTCTCAATAGAACAAAAACAGGGACTGGGGTTCAGTGTACAGAACACTGGCCTACCACACAGGAGGCCCTGGGTTCATCCCAGCACCATGGAAATCAGGTGTGGCAGCCGCATGGGCCTGTCAATACAGCACTCCAGAGATGGAGGCAGGAGGATTAAGAGTTCAAGGTCAGCCCAGGCTAATGAGATCCTATTGTAATAGAACAAAATGCAGGGCTAGGCATGGTGGTGCACACTGTTAGTCCCAGCACTTGGGAAGCAGAGGCAGGCGGATCTCTGTGAGATTGAGGTCAGCCTGGTCTACATAGCGAGTTCCAGGCCAGCTGAGACTACAGGGAGACCTTGTGTCAAAATAACAAACAAAAGAACAAGAAGAAAATACTAGAACATGGTATGGCATCACCGTTAGACAATACTGGCCACTGTCAGCAGAGCCACATACCCCCTCAGCTTGTTGTTGGACCTTAAACATCTTCTTAGTCCTCACCGTGTGCATGCTAGAGGGAATGGAGAGAGACCAGCAGTCAGTTGGTATTGAACTTTCATCTTGGTCCCTCCTACCTCGCTGCCTCTCAGGAAACAGAAAACCATGGGGTCTTTCTTGATATTTTCAGGGTCTCAGGACCCAGAATACTGGAGATGAGCTGGAGAAGGGCTCAGGGGATAATGTTTTGTCACACAAGGTCAAGGACCTGAGTTCAAATCCCCAGGACATATGTAAGAGCCAAGCATGGAAGCATGGGTCTGGAAAACCAGTGCTTCCATGGGGTGACGGGAGGCAGAATAGGGCCAGCTAGCCTGGTGTTGACAGTCATGAGCAGAGAGAGCCAGCCTCAGGCAAGGTGGAAGGCCAGGAACAGCACTCCAGACTGTCCTCTGCCCTCCAAAACAGGTTGTGACATATTTACATGTGCGTGTGTGTGTGTGTGGGGGTGAAGGGGCTTACTGACTGAGTTCAATCACCAGGACCCACATGGTGAAGGCATGAACTAAGTTCCACAAGTTGTCTTCTGATCTCCACAAAAATGTGACACATAGACACGCACATGTAAACACAACAAATATATTTAAAGATTTAAAAATTAGTTTTGATGCCTTCAGAGATATACATACACACAGAACTATCTAGAAAAGGCCCAAGAATTCGTCAAGAGCTTTCATAGACCACAACGGAGGAAATGCATTCCAGTTTCAAGGTCTTTGATTTTTCCTCCTTCCCCCCTCCCGCTTTGTTGTTCTGAGGGTGGAACCCGGGGCTTGAGGCGTGCTAGGCAGTACTCTACCCACTGAGCCCAGTCCCAGCCCCACTAGCTGTTTCCCTCTGCAGGTATTGCTGAACTTCCCCTGGAATTGTGTGCAGAGCACCAAGACTTCAGAATCTGCTCTCGAGACAGGGAACCGTAGATCTGAACTGGGGCGGGGCTTATGAATGGGCTCTTGCTATTTTCTAGCACAAAGTTTGCTTTTGAGTGTGAAGATTCTCCAATCTAGCGCTACATCTTTCCAGCCCCGGTGGCTCCCGTTGCACACGGCTTCCTTGAATGCAACATTTACTGAATTCACAAAGGTACTGGGAACCAGGATGGCGGAGTTCACCTGTCATCCCAGCACTTAAGGATGCCCAGGCACTATTACTATTATTATATTTTATTATTATTATTGTTATTATTGACAGGGTCTTGCTACGTAGCCCAGGCTGGCCTCCAACTCGTGGTAAGGGCCTGGTTGCACCCTAGTCTAGTGATCCAGGGTTCAGACCCGGGGTCCTTAGGTCACTTAGCTGCATGTAGAAATATTTTGGATTGACTGTCCAGGTTGAGAAAGGAATTCCTACTGGCATCGCATGAGTGGAGCCTGCTCACCCCGGCACCATGCACAGCCCTGTCTCAGCATGCACTTCACCGGTCCCAAGGCCGGCAGCTGCTGCTGAGCCAGTTCAGGCTGGACGGTGGGACAGGCTGCAGACAGCACAAGGAACTTAGGTTTGGCGCGTGGCCAGCGCGGGAGTTTTGGAAGGATTTAGCGATGCGCTCAGAGGTGGGAAACAAGGAGGATGTCCAATTAGAGTCCTACAAGGGGCTCCAGTCTGATATGGCCCCTTCCCACCCCTGGCGGCACCCCATCCTGGGAAGGGAGCCGCACCGGCACAGAGGCTGAGCACTGGCCATTGGCCACAGCTGCACGGTGGCCACCGCCGCTTGCAGCATCAGGAGCAGCATCCCGCCTGGACCTCCGCCACTAGCACTGCTCCTCAACCGCCGCGGAGATAGGCTGCAGAGTCTGAGCATGCGCATGTGGACCGCGGGTGAACGCGCTAACGGGTCCGCATGTCTGGGCATGCGCACTTTACAGGCCCGCCCCCTGACGTCTTCTGCCTCCCACTTGCACTTTTCCAAGCCCCGCCCTCTGGGCGGTATGCCTAAGGCCACGCCCCAACCATCCACAGTCACCTCCAATCCCCGCCCACTGCAGCTTTGTGCTTGGGGCCCGGTGTCCCTGAAGCAGCGGTTGGGGACACACCCCGCACTCCTCCTCCAATTCCCACTCCTGCAGCCTGTAGCGGTACCCGTTGGGCCACGCCTCGCTCTTCCGCTTCCTCCAAACTCCGCCCCTCAAGAGCCCGCCCACTCCGCATGTTTCCTCCAAGCCCCGCCCCCCGTCTATTCCACCACACGCCCCGCCCCTCACTTCTACCTCGTCCAACCCCGCCCCTGTAACCTTCTCCCTCAAGGTCCGCCCACACCTCCTCCTAACCCCGCCTCAGGACGCGTCCATCTCGGCCGGTCCATCACTTTGGCTTCCTTTATGTTCAGCAGAGCCAGGTTCTGGTTCTCTGCGGACTAGCCTGGACCACGCCCTCAACTCCGCCTGCAATCTCCGCCCCTCGAGAGCTCCAATTGACACCCCGCCCCTGAGTCGCCTCCTCCAAGCCTGCTCTTTAGAAACTTCAACAGGCATTGGTACTCAGGGTCGCCTCCTTACCGCCCCCTGCCTGTTCAGCCCCCACACCCCGGCCCTCCATAGGCTCCTTCAAGCCCCGCCCCTCCACCTACTTCCTGAAGTCCCGCCCCTCGCCGGTGCCGCCCAAAGCCCCGCCCTTCCATCCCCTCCTCCAAGCCCCGCCCCTCCGTCCATTCCGCCAAGCCTACTCTCTGGTGAGTTCCTCTGCGTGCCACGCCCCCACCTCACATCCTTTAGCCCCGCCCCCTTGAACTGGCCACCTGCTGCCCCGCCACCCCAGGCTGAAGCACGCGCGGGACGTCACGAGCGCGGCGACCCGGCGAGCGGAGATGACGTGCGTGCCGCGCGCCGCCTGTGTGGCCGAGCCATGGCGGCGAGCGCAGGCTACGTGCGGCTGTGGGCGGCAGCGCGGTGTTGGGCACTCCGGCGGCCGCTGCTGGTTCCTCGCGGGAGCCGTGTGCCGAGCCCGTCTGGGCCGTGGCAGCGCCGAGGCCGGCGGGGAAGCGACGCAGCGGCTCCCTGGACGCTGTGGGGCCGCAGCGCGGCAGGTGTGGGGCAGTGGCGCGGACTGTGGGACGCAGGAGGCCGCGGAGGCGGCGGCGACGAGGCCTCGGAGGGCGGCGCGGAGGACGGAGCCGCGGCGGGTGCCGGGGAAGGGCCAGTGGTCACCGCGCTGGCGCCCATGACCGTCCCGGACGTGTTCCCGCACCTGCCCCTCATCGCTATTACCCGCAACCCGGTGTTCCCGCGGTTCATCAAGATCGTGGAGGTAACGCGCGCCCCGCCTTGGCCTTGGGGTCCCGGCTCTGCGGACGGGCCCCGCGCGGCTCAACAACTTGGAACCGCGGTGGTGGCGCGCGCCTGGCATCCCAGTGCTCGGGACGCAGAGGCAGGAGATGGAGGCCAGCCTAGGCTATACGAGACCCTGTGTCAAGAATACCCTAAACAGAACAACAGAAAACCCCTTTTTTAAGCCGGGCGTGGTGGCACACGCAGGCGGCTCTCCATGATAGTGAGTTCCAAGGAGACCGTGTCTCAAAAAGCCCCAAAACAAAACTCCAAATCAGCAACTTTTGAGACGGGAAAGTTCCTGGAAGAGGAACTTGGTTACGCTGATCCCAAATTCCAACCCCCTTCCGGTTTCCTTAGCATCCATGACATCTGATTTGAACCCGGTAAACCCAGGACCCCTGATGGTAGAAGTCGGGGTTGGGGGAGGGGGAAGCACAGGCAGAGTTGCCGAACCTTTACTTTTATTCAGCCAGTTCTTAGCAAAAGTTTTGTAACACCTTTTCCCCAGGCTTCTTTGCGACCTTAGTTGAGCCCTTCCAACCATTTCATTTTTATTTTTCAAGAGCATCTCATTTATCTTTTGTTTTGAGGTAGGATCTCATGTTGCTCAGGCTGGCTTGGAATTCACTGTGCAGTGAAGGCTAGCAACGACTCCACACCCATTACTCCTGTCAGGCGCAAGTATCGGGAGATACAAAGTTGCTGCTTTGGAGATTAAACTGTGGAGTCTGATGGAGGATTAACAGTATAAATGAATGGTTTAAGGAAGGCGGTGGAAAAGAACAGGATTTTTCAACAGTGTCCCTGTCATCCCCTTAAGCAGTCTCTGACCTCAGGGAGGACATTTGTACTGCAGGAAACTGATCCAGTCAGATCCTTTCAGATTAATGAACTGGGACAGGGAGGAGCAGGGTGATGAAATCCACTGGAAGCAACATTTTCCAGTAGGAAACTTCCCAGGGCCAGCTGTCCACTCCCTATAGCTTTCTGTCTTTTGTTTTCTACTTTTTTAACTTGGAAACCGGAGTCCTCAGAGGCCAGTGGTAATCACTTAACCTGGTAGGCAAAGTTGTCCAGTGAGTCGCGCTCCAAGTCCTCCCCATAAGCTCCCCTCCATTCTCCTGGCTCTGCCAAGTCTGGGTGCAGGCCACCCTTCCTCTATGTTGTCTCTTTGGTGGAAGACACCCCCACCCCCCAGCCAGACCCTGGTGTTCCATTGACCACCAGCAAGGCCTGTGGGCCTTAGTTTTTCTCATCTGGTAAATGGACATCTTTTTAAAATTCTTAAATTTATTTTTAACTTGTGTTTTACCTGCATGTGTGTAAGTGCACCATGTGTCCTGGGCCAGAAGAGGGTGTCTGATTCCTTGGAATTGGAGTTGCAGATAACTGTTAGCTGCCATGTGAGTGCTGGGAATTGAACCCAGGTCCTCTGCAAGAGCAGACAGTGCCCTTAACCCCTGAGTGCTCTCCAGTCCCTCTTCTCAGTTTGTTTGTTTTGTTGTTTTGGCTTTTCTGTTGATTTTTTTTTTTTTTTTTTTTTTTTTTTTTTTTTTTTTTTTTTTGGGCCTAGAGAGTTGGCGCCTTGGTTAAGAGCACTGGCTGCTTTTGCAGAGGACCTGGGTTTGATTCCCAGCACCCACATGGCAGCTAACAACTGTCTGTGACTCC